CCTGGGGGGGGGTGGCGAGGCCGAGTGAGGGCCTGAGCCTGTCGTCGGGGGAGGTAGGGGGATGGTGCCCTGGCCCAGTCCTCCTACGACTGAGGAGGTGTGCTGGGAGTTGGATGGCGCTGATTGGCTCTGTTGGTTATCAGTCGCAGGTTCTGTACACAGGCATTCCTCCGGTAATTTGATATACTGGGTGCAGCCTTTGCACCAGAGGTGGTTGCTGTTAACGAGATCCCCTGTCAAAAACTCCGAGCTAGTAAAAACTTTCAGAGTTCTGACGAATTTCTCCTCTGCTTCCCGATGAAGCTGGTATTTGAGATTTCCCAGCTTCAAGTCTATTGGGTCGTTAACCACATCGAGCTCCTTGATGATCTTACCCATTACCTTCTCAATCCCCGATCTGATGTAGAACGAGGCATTGATCGGGAAATGGGTGGCCATGACCCAATAGGTATTTCGTTTTTCTTTTTCCCGGTATTGAATCCATTCCGCCCGAGGCATCCATGGGCGGAAGAGGATTTTGTATGTCTTGTTCCTATCGACAAAACGTTCGATTCCCCTTGCAAGCTTGCCGCCACAATTTCAGAGACTTTGGCAATGTACACGAGTTGCATTCTGCTTTTTCGATGTGAGCAAGGCCACGATGGGACATCAGCTTCTCGGGGGGGATTAATGCATCCTCGATCGAGCGAATCAGGTCGATTTTCCGGTCTTTGGTGAAGTTTTTGGCTTCTACCTGAAAGAGTACGGCGATTGCCATATTTTTCAGGAATTCCTCTTCGACCGCCCTAATGCATTCATTAGGGCGGATCTCTAAGCAACTATTCTCAACATCCAACGAGGTTTCGATAAAGTCAAACACGTCTTGATTGATGTGGTTGATATACCAACCACCTACGAGATCGGCCAAATGGGATATCTCTGTGTCCGTCATTGTAGACAATGCGGAGGGAGCAGTTTTGATCTCGATAGGTGATCGTGAGTCGCTCGTGGAGGAGTCCATTGTTACGGTCGGTCTCTTGGCCAAGTTCGCAGTGTAAATTGGACACTCCCTGTGATAGGAATGGATGAAAGAAGAGTGGAGGTAAGTACTACGGGTGGCAAATGTTGCGGTCCCGTATTGGAAGAATATTAATATATTTAAGCAATTAAATAATTGTTAAGTAATCGACCACCCGTAACGAGAAGGGTAACTCATAAGAATTAAAAAAGTTTAAGCGGGGCAGATGTCCGTACTGACCCAAAGGAACAACAATTACTGCGTGGTAACTGGTACAATAAAGAATGCTGAGCGTTGATGGTTTCTCGGGCTAACGGGTGTTGCGCTACTTCGGGCGCGGCAAGTGGGGGTGGGGGTCGATCCTATCGGGGTGGGAGTACCTGGACAGTCGAGTGCTGGCCCTGCTGGGTTAGTATACGGTCCGTGATCGAGGAATCGTAGTGAATAACTCGCCGAGTGAGGCCTCGGAAGGGAGCGGAACGTTTGGGGGTGAGGGGCGAGGACAGGGCTAGGGTTGATAAGTACAGCATAGGTGTAGTATGGAGGATGGGGGAGGGGAGGATATAGAGGGGTTGGGTCGGCGCGCTGCCCGACAATGTGCCGCGAGAACTGAGGGGAGAAGTTCCTAAGAGTGGGGTGGATCGGTGTAGGGGAGGTTGGGTGGTGGAGGAGAGAGAGGGGGGAAACACTATTATTAGGTTTATCCGATTCGGGAGGGATTTAGAGACGGGAAGTATGCAAGGTGGGAAACTATGTCGGGGACTAGGGTATGGTGGAGGTGAAAGGCCTTGTTTATAGCTACTAGTTGAATGGAAAGGAGGGAAGTCACTGACAGGCTGTGCTTGTCGGGCCGGGTTGAGTAGGGGAGATTGGTGGGAAAAGAAAAGGGCAGGGAGGCCGAGTTGGACTGAGACGATGAATTTCACTCATCAGCAAAGTAAATGTGCCGAAATTACTTTATTAGGTAGGACCCAGTATTAGGTGAGTATGAAAGGATTCTGTTCGAGAATAGAAGGGCGGTACTGTAGCACCTCAACTTGGGTGGGGATTTACTAAGAATAGGATGGACCGATGTGGCGGAGGCTGAGAGAGTGGGGAGGGAAGGGATGCAGAGTCAAAATTATTAGTTTTGACAAATGTGATCAGGACGAAGAGGAGAGAGGGAGGTGTGGGAGGTGTGGGAGGTGAGTGTCAATCCCGGGAGCAAGCATATGATAGACGGTTAATACCTGCAACTGACCATGGGAGGAATACCCCTGGAACTTTCACTGTAACGCTTGACTCGTTGAGGAGGCGCTTCTGTCCTCCAGAAACTGGTATCGCTGTAGCGGAACGCCTGTCCTTCGGCGTTACGCTGGTAAGGATCTTTAAGACACTGGTAAGCCACTGTTCTCTCAAGTGTGAGGTATGCATGAGACCGACCACCACACTCTCTTCCCTGTTAAGCGGAAAGGGACTCGCTTGACATTACTGGGTAGAGACGTTTCTCCTTCCCTATCACCCAGGGAGGAGAGGGTGGGGATGGCGAATGACCGTGGTAACTCAGTTACCGCGCGACAGCGCAGGCAGTAGTGCAAATTAACGCAGTGTCGCAGGAGCGCGCGCCGGTCCCTCTCTCGGTACAAATTTTTTTTAGAAAGCTATTTTTTAATGTTCGAACGTTCTTTTTATTATTATTATTATTATTATTATTATTATTATTATGTTTTAATCATTTTTTCTATTTCATGTTTCTCGCTTTTCTCCTCACGGACGGTGCCCGAATCATGCACACATGACAACACAGGAAAGTCACAATAAGGAAAACAGGACAGCGAGAGGAAGTGAATGCACAGATCCACTAAATGCGGCCAAATTCAACAACTCGTGTGAAATTACTACCTGTTGGCTGGACGACCTCCTGGTTGCTCCGTTGTGTGCAGGGTTGGGCTTAGGACGGTACGGTACTATGATACATCAAGAACCAGGCTCATTATGTCAATAAAAGTGGTCGTTCCGTGAGAAATCCTCGTTTAAGTGTCCTTCGCGACATCCGTTTGTATTGGCAGTGCTGTGTTAGCGCTGTGTTAGCGCAGCGCTAGCATCGCACTGTGGTTTCACAGGCTCTGAATTTTTTAATTATGCCGGGAGTATTGTGGGGAGGGTAACTCCCCTGCGACCGAATAGCATCGTCTTGTCTCTCGCATGGTCCCTCCCCCTTGCCAGGTTGGCAGGCATGGGTGAGATTTGGATGACGCCCCGTCGCCCCCCTTATCAGTATTATGAAGAGGTCAGGGCTTTCACCTTGGTCACAGATACGGAGCCTCCATGTATACATTGCTGCTGCGTTAGCATTGGTCGGGTGCTGCTGTTGGTGGAAGGATGTCCATTCCATCAAGGTGAAGAGCGGCTTGATGTTGATTGCCGAGAAAACGGATTTATGAAGAAGAGATACATTATGCTTGTGTGACCTTGATTTGCCGATGTATTAGCTTCTTGTGCCTGGAGATTTTGAAGTGGGCGATTGCAGAGGATCTGGAAGTTATCAAGGGTCAGACATGGCGTTTATCATGCTGTGGTGCTTTCGTTGGAGTGTGTGTCTCCTTTGAGTATGAGGATGCAGCTGTTACATGCGAGTATAAAGTGGTGTTTGTCGTGCCTGCGTGGCGCTGATTGGTTGAAGTGTTGGATTTGCTAATACCTTTTCCTACGGCCGATGATGGACGAGAGTAGCAGGAACATTGTCGTGCCATTGGGTGCAATCATCTGTTCTCCGTGGTTGGCTTGCTATCTGCTCTTCGGGATCGACTTTCCATGTGTAATACTCTATAGTTTGCCAGTGCCACGCGTTTTTTATTATGTTACATGCATCTGGCTATGTTTCATGCAGAGATACAGAAAAATAGTTCTATCTCGATTTCCTTCTCCTGTCCTCAAATACGTTCTGATTCAGGCATTCAATTCAATCCGATGCTCTTTGCTAATGGGACCACGACCCTGGCCGTATCTTCGTCTTCAAATTTCTTTCCATTTTGGCAGGTCATTTCCTGACTATATGATCTTCGTCTTCGAATTTCTTTCCATTTCCACAGGTTGATTCCAAACAAGGAAGGGAAATTGCGGTAACCTTCCCAGGGCCAAGGTCCCACTAGCAAAAAGGATAGGATCGAGCTCGTGAATCTGGATGTGTTTTATGTAGAGATGAAGAAAAGCAGTTCAATCTCTATTTCCTGCACCTGTTGACAAACACGTCCAGATTCAGGCAATGCCATTCCATTTGATCCTCTTTGCTAGTGGGACCACGCCCCAGGTTACTGCAAATTACCAACCCCCAGCGGCCCCCCTCAGGCTGCTGACAAATGGGGAGTCTCAGAGGAATAAGTAGTTTCAGGAAATGAGATCCTAGTGTGACTCTCCGTTGATGCAATTTTTGGGGGGATTTGGGGGATTATGTGGATTTGGTACCCCAGAGTGAGCGCGCCCTGAGCTCGACTCTCTCTTTCCTTTTCCCCCTCTCCTATCTTCATCCCCCGAACACAACGCACCATCATTTTGGCTGTGCCTGACCGAAAATATATTTTGAATAGATTCAGTAATAGGGGGAAGACTGCAGTATTATGAAGGTTTTCTTTTTCTTTCTTCTAGTGCGACGGAGGTCCAAAGCGTTGGATTGTTTAATAAAAGAGAATGGAGAGAAGTACAATCTTCACCGGAATAGAAAACACAGCCACGAGGGACATATCTGGTCTGTAGTTTCGCCCAAATGGAGTTACATAGACCCTCAGTGGATAAGAAACTCTCCAATAAAATACCCCCGTCTTTTTTTTTTTTTTTTTTTTTTTTTTTTTTTTTTTTTTTTTTTTTTTTTTTTTTTTTTTTTTTTT